CTCTAGAGTAAACATGAAAAGAAGACATAGATGCTAGATACACATTTTAACTAATGTGTATTTGGAGACTGAATCTTTGTACATTCAGAACACATACATGCTTATTACTGTGGAGATTCTCGACTTGAGTGTTTTCATCTTTTGCTTCCATCACTAACCCACCCCCCAACACACACACACACACACACACACACACACACCAAATTTGTCATTGAGCAAGTCCACGTATTGGACCAAAACAGCCATGGTCTTGAGATGGAATCGTTAATCATCCTAGCTTGTGCATCTTTTAAAAAGAATGTGTGGTCTTTTGGTAACTAACACAGACAATTTTGGTGACAAGAATGTGGTTCAGAAAGCCCGGGATCATTTTTAGGGGGATATAAACATTTGGGAACCAAGGTAGCTACAAAAGGTGGGTGCTGGAATGTTTCACCCTGCATTGCAGCAGGAATGAAGGATGCTTTTTCCTTCCATTGCCTTGGTGATGTGGGCTGCTAGCAAATATTAGAAGTAAGTTCAATCAGATAGGCTTTTCCTAGATGAAGGACATTCTCATTCCCAGCCAAAACACACCGTGGCTAGCCTAGGAAAGGAGACTGGGTTGCAGGAGGAGCTCCAAAGTGGCACAATATGTTCAAGTGGGGTGAAGTGTGTGTGTGCGCGCGCGCATGGCAGGGTGGGGGAAGCGGCAAGAAGCCAGTGCCCTTCTAGATTCCTAAAGCTGATCCTGTGGAACAGCGCAAGTCTTGAAGGCTGAAATTCCAAGAAAAGAACAATCACATCAGTCAGTATAGATAAAGATATGTATGTATAAAAATATCAGTAATGAGAACATTAATAAGTGCAAGGCATACATAGGTGAATGATGGGTGGGATTTTAGTCTGAAGCACATCGAAGAATTCAGAACTGGGAGGGATGTTTATCAGGAGGGTCTCTTCACCTCTTAAACCTATAGAAAAATGATGGCAAAACTCTGAGCCATACAGTGAATATCTGCATTTTTCAGGTTTATTGATCCCTGTCACCTTCAAGGCCAAACCACATAGTATTAAATTTAATACAGACATTTAATAAAATGCAGATAGCCAAATGTGTGTGCTGTTGTGGGTCTCTAAAGTGGGATTCTTGGCTGGAAGGGAGGACGACTTTTACATTTTCTTTCTTTGCGGCTGGCCTGACTGACCTCCCCAGGATGCGCCTGCCACCTTATTTTCCTGGAAGGAAAGCTCCCATTGGTGCCAGAGCCATAGCTCGGGGCAGAGCACCTGCTTTGCATGCAAAAGGCCCCAGCTCCAGTCCCCAGCATCTCTTTGTGGGATGGGGTGTGGGGTGGGGACTCCTGGGTGAAACTCTGGGCAGCCACTGTAGCCCCATGAAGCAACGGACTGGCTCAGCACAAGGCACTGGGCACCCTCCTTTTGCAAAATGTGTGTGTTCAATGCAGAGGCTCCTAGTTTGGCTCGTAACCCGACGCTTCCCAGGATCGAGCCCCACCGATCAAGATGCCCAGTCCTGAAGCCTGAAGGAGTGCTGATCGCCCCTGATCTGTCATTTCAAGGCAGTTGGATGTAGTGAGTTATCACTGACAGAGCAGGGAACGGCGGTTGGCCAGGCCTCCCCCCACATCGCTTGTTTATTATATCCCTCCCGCAACTTCCTGCTTCCCCCTTGCCAGTCCTGCCACGTAGCTCTCATTGGTAGTCACTGCCAGAACGGGGCTCCGCCAACCCCTGCCAGCCTGCAAACAATTGGAGCGCTGTGAGGGACAACGGCATGACCTCATCTCCTAGCCATCTCTGCCTTGCCACAAAAACCTTTCTGTGTGAACTGTGGGGAGAACTGGCTCATTCCAGAAATACTGCATTGCCAGTGGGAGGCGCCTGAACACTGTGATCCGGTATTCCGGGCTGCACAGAGACACCAGGAAGGAGAGGGAAGGTCAGGCAAGGTTCCCCTTCCTTCTTATGCCTTGAGAAAAACATTGTGCTCTTTTTGCATTCGTATCCTTGGACGCAGCTGGCAGTAGACAGATAGACACTTGCTACATATTGCATCTTGCTAGACAGAAATGTGGAAAAAGCTCTTGGAGGGATCTCTAGCAGGATCAAGCAGGTAAGATCAGGATCTGTTTTTAGGTCTCTGAGCTGTCACCAAGTCACCCAGAGACCTACCAGTAGATCCTGGTCTATCTTCTGCCTGCAGTTTTTGATTTCAGTGGGAACAAGCTGGCTTTGTGCCAACTGCTTATTCCAGTCTCAGCATTCCTCATCTGTAAAATAGGACTGTTGAGATCAGGTTGCTTTGGTCCTGTAGAATCCCAGTTCTAACTCACATGTAGATCTGGATTCCTCTCAGGCCCCATTTGGACGTTTAAAAACTTGCCCTCTGCACAGGAACAGAACCTTGTACAAAGGCCCACCTTGCATAACACCTCCTACCAAGTTTTCATGTGCATAACACTTGCCAAAGGGAACCTACTCATGTTCAGCTGTAACTAAGTAGGTCTCCCTTTTGCAGGTGTTGACACTGTATGTGTGAAAGCTGCAGGGTCTGTGTGTGATCATAATAACAAAAGGAACCCAACTTGCTGGTTTGCGGAAGGTAAATCTTTTTTAAACACCCAAATAGGGAGGGAGACAGTGTGTGTTTCATGTGGTGCCACAATTAACTCCACTCCCTGAGCTGCCATTTTGTGTCTAACTCTGGTTGATAAATTAAGGAATATCCTATGCACATTTACATGGGAAAAAGTCATAGGACATTGTTTTGACTAAACTTGCAGCAGATTGTACCCTTCCACATTCTACTAAAAAAGAATAGAACCCATTAGCCTGTAGCCTGCCCACTTCTGGTATATATTATGGGATTTAGAATAATCCCTTATCCTATACCCCCCTCATCCCAAAACTGGGGAGAAAGGCTATGAAACCCCATTCTGAATGGATGTTTGCTTTGGTCCATGACACTATACATATCCCCAAGTGAACACACCTGAGGAACTATTTTGTGGTAACCTGGTCATAGAGGAAGGGCAAAATGCGTATGCCTATAGGACTTCTAGGCATAATTTCTAATTATCAGTCATAATGTCTGAAATACCCTGATGTCAACTGGCAGCCATATTAGATGCTGTAGCATGACTTGCTTCCAATGGCTGGTATGCCCACTGAACATAAGAATTTGCTGTCTGGCATCTACCTCATCCTGTTTGTTTCCCATCTAAAGAGTTCCTTGAAAGCAAAGTGATCTGACCACAGAAAAATGCAGACAGGTGGGTGGAGGTTGGAAGAGGGCTGTATATGAGTATCTCCCAAAATATGTGTCTGTGTGTGCTGGGGGTGGCAGAAGCTGGACTAGGAGCCTAGTTCTCATGCTGCCACTGTGATAGAAAAAAAATGGCCCCATCATCCACAGTTCTGTCTGCTTTGGGGCCTCTCCATGAGGTGTTTCAGACTGCTCCATCTCATGCTTTGGATGAGGTGTTTCTCTCAAAGTGTCTCTATGTGCAACTTGCTAAGAGAATAATTTAGCACTCCCCTCCTCCCAAGATAAGGCTTGGCCCCATCTCCTCCATCTGGGCTGGTAAATGGTTGTGGCAGAAAAGTTCACATGGGGAAATTCTTTCTCCACCCCAGCTGCCCAAATGAAACCTGAGGGCATGCAGTCTCCTGTGAGGATTAAATGCTAGAGCGGGCACAGGAGGTGCTCTTCTGAATTGGGACTCCTGTGTGGGGGTTGTAGGGCTGTACCTGTTCTGTAGTAGGAACACATGAAAAATGCAGCTGCTCCGTATGGATTCAGCGTAACACACGTTTTGGCCATCAGAATGCAGGGATGGAGATGTGGAAACTTCTGCTCCCCGTATGCTGACATCTCGTGATTTCTCACTGCCTAGCTGATTTGAAATGGAAAACAACTTTCCCCAGTGGAGAACTGTGTGATTTCAATTGGGTGGAAGGTTCATGGAGATTTCTCCATACGTTGTCCTCCTGTGTATACACCGCTCAGGTGCATGGCTGGCTGAGTGGAGTGCAATTATGATAGGGAGGGGGCATTTGGAGGGAGGTGTTCTCATGCACCTTATTTCCCACTCTGTGTTCCACACTGCCCGCCACTCAGCTGAGAGGTTGGCTTACACTGGCTGCTGGTCTGGGCACCTGTGTGGCCTCCCAGGAGCCCTTTGAGGGCCTCAGGTTACCCACATAAGCATGTCAGGTAGGCTGATGGGCTCTACCTAAAATTACCTTGAGAATCATTTTCCATTCATTTTCTTCCAGAACATGTACCCTGTGCATTGAACCCTCAAAGTGGTACTGTGGGGGATACAAACACTGGGGATCAAATGAGAAACCCAGGCACACCTAGTGGCCCTTGTGACCTACACCTGCATTAGGAATTAAAAAAAAAGCAGGGCGGAAAGAAGTCTCCCTTTGCCTCCCACTTCACTGAGCCGAATTCCTATTTCCTGCACCATTGCAAACTAGGTGTGAAGTTCCTAATTACTGTAAACCCCCTGAAAACAGGATGAAAAATGACTTCATAGGTGAGCTTTTTTGAGATGGGCTTCCAGGGTAATGCATCCTGGAAAGCCAGGATTACATTTCCTTGCTAGAATGCAAATGAAGGATGAGTAGATCCAGTCTAACCCGAGTTTCAGTAAATGAAGAAATGCCAAAGAGCTGGTCTCAGATCCGATCCAAGTCTGGTGCTCCTTGTAAGCAGAGGTGAGACAGCACCTTGGGTGCTTTTGGGGTCAGTATGTCTGACTGGACGGATAGCCCTGGTGGCCTTTAATTCAAGCAGAAGGCAGAAGCATCTCCTGATAGCTGGATGGATAAGGTTACATCAGGACTGAAGCAAACCTAATGTTGTTAGTTTTTCCCATTCTTCCTAGACTTCAGGTTTGCTCCTTGTTTGTGCAGCACTTTACTTCCTATATTTATATTTATAAGGCAGAGATGTGGAGGACCTTGCTGCTTCTTCAAGGATAATGTCTTTCTCCCAGCAAGCAGAGGTGGAGTAATGGCACAGCCTACAGTGACAGAATCAGTCATCCAATACAGGTGAAGGAAGAAGTGAACTTCCTGATGCCTTTAAATGCTGGCTGTAACGCAGAGCAACAAACGCTGGATGTCTGCTTGGCAGGGCTCTGCTTTTCTCCCATCCCTTTCCCAAATTGAGGTTGAGGGGAGAGCAAGGCAGAGAAGTGAGTTCCCTCCTTCACCTGCTTACCATCTCCAGAGAAGGCTCACACTGTGAGATTACACACCCCTCCGACTGCCAGCGGGCAAGCAGCATTGTTCCCTTACATGCTGGCATCTCATAGGAAAGTGAGGGGGTGTCCGAAAAGAGCACCTATGGCTATTCATACCTTAACTTCATCCTCCTCCTCCTCATCAACATATTCAAAGGAATCACTGTGCTCCTGACTAGCAATGGTTGTTCCATTTCTATAGAGCTCTTCCTCCTCCTCCTCCTCCTCCTCCTCCTCTTCCTCCTCCTCCTCCTCCTCCACTCTCTGGCGCCACTGAGCCTTGTGTTCCTGCTGCTCTTCCACACCCCCCTTCAAACACCAGGTCCTGGCATCTGGACTCTCCCATGAGGCTTGACTCCTTGACTTGTCCTGGTGTGGCAGGCCATGGTATGAACCTCCCAGGCTATAATGGGAAGCCAAAACTTGGGCTGCCCGGTTGAATTCTCTTGCTTCCATTTTGCAGTCGTTCTGCCACCCTTGTGAATGGGCCTCCCTTGGCACTGCTCCCAAGTCAGCACTTGAGTTCTTTCCCACAGAAAGTGGTGACCCTTCCTGAGACAATTCTATGGACTGAGAATCCCCATTGGTACATACCAAGTGTCCCAATGGCAAGCTAGCCTCAGAGTGACCCCTAAAGCTTGATATGGCTTTGCCTCCTTCCCCTTTGGCCTGAAGAGATCCTGATATTTGAGGTAAAGCGTCCTCTGCCCAGGTGTCCTTTGGGTGAAGAGGCAAGAGTGTGTCACTGTTGGTGGCAGTTTTGCTTTCCTCTTGTTTCTCCTCTTCTCTCTTGCTGTTGCTACTGTCTCCTGAGAAGCTGATGACGTGGAGGAGTTCGCTCATCAAGGAGGGACCAAGGTCAAGACGGAATGACAACAAAGAGTCCGAGCGCTTCAGGACTGGTTCGGCGAGTTGGGAGCTTTCCTGAGTCTTCTCAGAGCGAGGAACACGGGGGATGGTGCAGAATCCAGACTCCAGACCTGAAAAGGCCACAAAACCAAAAGTGAAAGAAAAGCCGATATTGCTATGGGACAATCAACCTGACACTCCTCTTATGTCAGTCTTGCCCAACTTGATGCTCCTCAGATAGACTCTCAGACTATGAGGGTTGCAGGCCACCATATTTGGAGGGCTGCAAGTTAGACCTAGCATAAGGGATGTGAAGCAGGGTAGAACAAAGCTGTTTTTGTATGGTCTGCCCATTCTGCTTAGGAGGATGCTGAGAGCTGTAAATTCATTTTCTTAAAGCCTCTGTTCCTCACTGCTGGGGCGATATTGATAGATGTGGCATACAAATAAGAGTTGAAAGGTCAAAACCAAGCATATAAAGATCAGTCAAGATTTCTTTACATCCGAGGAAATCATTTCTGGGATAAGACTACTGAAGAATTACACTGTGTCAGGCTAATGTTGATTCACGTTTGCCAAGCTTATGCACATTCCATTAATAGCACACAACTAAAATATGCAAATTAAGCACAGCTCAGTGGCTTGTGAGCTATCTCCAATGAACAACCCTTGGTGCTGAAAGCAAACAATTCATCCCTGAGCTAACCCAATATCCACCCTCCCTTCAACAGCATCAGTATGAGATGCGGTAGAGGAATCACATGAAATCTCAGTATGATCAAGGTGCGCCATGTTCCATGCCTGTTTTCACCATCTTCTGGCAAATAAGGCTTAAGGGAAAATTTTCCAAACCTTTGATATCCAAGTGCATGGCAGTGGCACTGCTGCTGTCAGTGTTTCAGATTAAAATTGGGGAGACATTGAATACTTAGTGCAGAAAAATTAGTACTATAGGTTTTAGTACTAATCTAGCAAGCCATGAACAATTTGGGACCACGATACCTGGGCAGGAGCCTCTACTGAGCTCATTAGAAGACATTCTTCAGTTTGCACATAGGACCATGACCTGACTGGAGAAGAGCCTTCAGTGTGATGGCCCCATTTCTATGGAATTCCCTGGCCTTGCAAGGTCAGGCAGGCACCAACACTGTACTATTTTCTGTGCCTGCTAAAAACGATCTTATCCCAGGAAGCCTTTTCTTAAGTCGTAATGTTGTTTTGTTTTTATTATTTTATGTGTTTTGGCTCTCTACTGTTCACCACTCCAGAATGTGCTTGGATGTGGAGCAGTATAGAAATGTTATAATCGTATACATTAGATCCTCAATCACCTCCCAGAACAATAGGTAGATATTTTCCTTGGAGTTGTGGGGCAACCCTGTTAATATTACCATTGACTCCCACCCATTCCTCTGCCTAATCAGTCATCACTCAGAGATGGGGCACCAGGATTCTTGGGCAATGGGGATGCTCCTTAGATCCCACACAGCTATCAGCTGAGGCATAAGCTCAATCAGGCAATTCCACTGCAGCCTTACTTCCTCTGCCAGGATGATGTTGCTTTCCATGCACTGGCAGAAATAAGAAAATCAATGCTGCAGTGCTTGCTTTGTTGGGCAGAGACTAATGATCTCAACAGGGGCACTTAATTTTGGAACTGTATGCAAAGGACCTCTTGAGATTCTTCACTCTATTTGTGAGCAGATAAACTGTGGCTGGGGGGTAGGGGCCAAAGGGTGGGAGAATCTCTCTGTCAAATTCTTACAGGTAAGAGTTGCCATTGGTGAAGACTGTAGCACAGCTTCTTTATTTTTTCCAACTTTATTTGGAGGGGGGCAACTGCAAATGGCCACAGCAGTAGGTGTATTGGTAGCCTGGCCCTCACTGTGCCTTTTCTACAGCATCCCATGCCTAGAGAAGTGACTGGGTGGGTATAGAGAGGGAATGTGAACTTTGAGAGACATTCTGTAAAAGACCTTTATTTCTAGGGAGTAAGGAAAAGAAAAGTCACAGGACACGTCTGAAATAAATGTATTCTGACAAATTTTGGCTTAGCAAATTGTTGTTGTTCGTGGTTTGGCAACTTTTCCAGTTGCTGCTTTTTCCTAATGTTACTTTTATAGGGATGACATTTATAGGGATACACCTTGTCTCTAAGGCTGGTTCAGATAGATGAGTGTACAATGAAAGATGGGGCACGTCCACACTCCTCAGCCCACCTGATAAATAAGGTAGGCATGAGCAATCTGAATCCAGCCTATGAGAATTTCTCCAAAATTTCTTCTCCTTTGTGTTTGCAAAAGCAAATTATTTTCAATCCAGTTGAATGAGGATGGTTAAAAATAACATGGAAGAAATTTTCAGCACAACACCCCTTAATTTTCTGAGGCCCATGCAGCCCTTCTCACTGCACACCAATGCAGTTCAAAAATCATGCTGTTCTTTACCTTCATGTAAACCGGACTACCCGACCTTCTATCACCTTTCCCCAATCTGATGCACTTCAGACGTACTGAGCTACAGCACTCATCTTCCCCAGCCATCATAGCCAATTATAGAAACATAGAAACAGAGCAAGTCAGAAGGGTCTCCCGGGCCATCTAGTCTGACCCCTGGCTCTAGCCAGCTCTGCTCACAGCATGCCCACCATGTGCATGTCTAATTATCATGCTGACTGGGGGTAAAGGAAGTTGTGTCCAAGGATCTGAAGAGCATCAGCTTGTGGAGGGCTGATATAAATGCTGACTGCCTTAGCCAATAGTGGGGGTGAGGCAACTAGTTCAGTCCACATACCACTTTTAATAAATTTTCGGAGGCAACATTCTGATAGTGGCCGAAGACAAGAAAAAAACAAGAAATGCCTCCTTAAAGTCCTTCCTGCCAGTAACTAAGCTTTAGGAAAGGCAATTCAACCTTTCTGAATAAGAAAAAGCTGCAAAAATTGAGAAAGCATTGTGCAATTAGAGGAGGTGGGTGAGGCTTTTTGGGGGAACCCACAGGGCTGAGTTTGGCCCGTGGGCAGCCAAGTTAGCATCCAGGCTTGCTTGCACCCTTGCAATAGATCCTATGACTGTATTGTCCAGCTCTTTGCAAATTCCATTATACCAACAGCAGAATGAATTACGCATTCCCATCGCTTGGCCTGGGCAATGAAATGGTAGGGTTGGTTACACTGCAAATATGCAGCGAGCAATGGAATTGCAGGCTTGCTTATAGCATAATATTGACTGGATGAACTGGAGAGAACAGGGAACTGGGTTTATATTTAAACGATGGGTCAACCTTTTCTTTTATGAGTTTTGCTCATGAAGCTGAAATTGATCCAGGGAAAGAAGCAGCAAAGATGATATAAAATTAAACTGCTGGTCTATGGGGAGAGGGGGCTTGAAATACATCCACTGAAGCAACTATGTAACCCAGAGCGCTCAACAGAGGGCAGCATTGTTCTGCATCTGTCTTGAGAAAAGGCAGGAAAAGTTCCTGCAAAGGCTAGACAGGCAGGGCAGACAGCTAAAAAAGGGCCACTCTGCTGCAACAGGAATGCAGAACAGAAATCTTTATTTAGGTCCTATTTAGGCCTCAGTCCCCTTTCAGTGTGAAGGCTGCAGTGTAGATCGTCTGTCCTGTAGCGTAGACAGAAAAATGGCTTCTGTGCTTGGGCAAAGAAAATCAGAATTCTAGCTCAGTCAGACACATTGCTAGGCTGGTTACTGGAGGGGATTACAAAGGAGGGTTGGGACTCAGCCCTTAAAGAGGATCATGCAATACACTGACTAATGTCTATTACCCTTTCCCCTACATCACCCTCTCTTTTGTTCTTCTCTGCCAACTAGGCTGTACATTCTTTCCTCAATACACATGGTTCTCTTTCCTAACAGCTGCCTGTTTGGCATTTCATGCCCAAGAAAGATAACCCAGCTTAAGACAAACAGACTGTCATTATGAATACTTCTGGAAAAGACTATCCAAAATAAGTCTGTATAGGTTTGCAGCTTTAGCCTTCACTTTTAATCTCCTAATATCTCTTTTACCATACAGACTGAGGAAACAAGTAATGCCCATTGGATGCAGGCCAATCCTCATCATAAATATTGCTTTAGTTCCAGACTTTATCATGCTTAGAATAGATCCATTGACATCAACAGGACAAATAGTCCAAAGGGTTTTAAGGTTTCCTGTTCTATTGCGATATATGTATTTTATAGGTCTTGTGTCATTTTTGTTTGTTGGCCAGTCTCCAAGCATGCGGCTGTACTGCTGTTTGATCCATGGTGCAAGTGGGACCACCTGCTCATAAAATGGAGAACTAATGGGTCAAACAGCAACCCTGGAAACAAGTGGAAATGTTTGTTTCTGGACTGGGACAGGTCAGCAGAGCTTCCTTTTGCAAGGCTCTGCAGACATGTGCTTTTCTCAGAACAAAAATCTCTGTAGATTTTGGACTGCCTTTAGAACCGTGAGCACTGCATCTCACTTTCATGGGAGCAGCTTTGGATACTGCCTGTCAAAATTTGTTTATATATATTGTATTTCACTCTGAGTGCTCATTGAGTGGATGAGTGATCCAGAAATATATGAAATAAATAAACAGGGCCCATTGATTTCTGCTGTAGGCACAGTGACCCATTATGCAAGGCATGTTTATTCTCCTCCTCTGCCAAAAGACCTCCCCAAACAGCTTCAATCATGAGATTTTTAGCAATAGTAATTAAAACCATTTAGTCTGATTCCTTCACTCAGACTGCAAATCAAATTCATGTTTGAAATTAAAGCAATGGGATTGTGTGCCCAGGTTGTGAGAAGCGTGTGGTAGGCAGTGGGGTTCTGCTGGCTGCCTTTGCTTCCCTCCCTTGCTTGCGTTCAGCAGAAGAGGAAATAGCACAGGCATATTCTCTTTCTGTCTCTGCATTTATGTTAAGCAAGGTGCAGGAGTTTTCCTTTCCCAGGGGACAACCTGTACACAGGCAGGCTTGTTCACAAATTATGTTGAACCTATGGAAGGGGTAGAACAAAGACAGCGACATAAACTCCCCTCTGTCTCTACACACATTTGTTGAAGAGGATTAATTAGGACACCTCATATTGCTATCATTTAAAGGTGAATAATAAATTCTGTTCCCCCTTCTGCTCTGCTTTTACATTTCGTTTTATTTTACTTGCTTATCACCACTGCAAAGCTGATCTTGTTCTACTTTTTTTTGCTCTTCATTTCTAGCAGTTCCAACCTTGCAAAACTACTGCTGCTGCTGCTTTTTATTATACTTGTAACCCATTTTTTTTCCTCTTATGAGGAATGTAAGATGGGTTACATAATTTTCTTCCTCTCCATTTTATTCTCACAACAACCCTGTGAGGGGGCTTAGGCTGAGAGTCAATGACTGGCCCAAAGTTGTCCAGTGAGTTTTATGGTTGAGTAGGGACTAGAATCCAGATCTCCTGAGTCCCAATTCCAATATTATGGCCACTGTGCCACGCTGGCTGTCTCCTATTTTGCCTTCTCTTGCCTTCTCTGCCAGAGTAACATGGTATAAGAAACCTGAATGTTGCAGTAGCACCTGGATCTAAAGCAGGGGTGGGCAACTTGTGACCCTCCAGATGTTTTGACCTACAACTCCCATCAGTCCTAACCTCCATAGCTAATGCTGAGGGAGGAAGGGGGTTGTCGGCCAAAATGTCTGGAAGACAAGTTGTTCACCCTTGATCAGACACTTTGAGTCAGCCTTCCCCAGCCTGGCAGCTTTCAGATGTGTTAGATGGCCATGCTCACCATCCTCATCCATTGGCCATGCTAGCTGGGAATGATGTGAATTGTAGTCTAACACAGCTGGAAGCTACAGGGCTGAGGAAGGGCGCCCATGTACAGCTTTGACTCCGTGCTTATTGTGAGGAAAATCGGATACTTTTGGAACTATTACTCATGCCTGAAATATACACATGTTTGCAACAGAGGCCTCACCCTGCCCCTTCCTTTTCTTTTCCATTTTAAACCAAACCTCCCATCACCAGTCCTTCTGGCTGTTTGTGGAAAGCTGGACCAGAAAATGGATGTAGCTATTTCTGGCCTCTTTTTAAAGAGTGCTCAGAGAATGCCAAGTGCATTCTGGTATCATAAGACTTGGCATGAATATCACTGTTCATACACCAGAGGCTGGCTCCTGGAAGATCCAATCACAAAGAAGTGGATGAGATCTATAAAGCATCTTTAGATACCGAGCTCCCACTTGGCTAAGAAGGACATTCGAAAGCATTCTGAGAGCACCAATGAACTACACCCCAGTCAGAAATACTCAGTTTATGCAGGCTTTCATTTTACTCTGTTAAAATACCTTCTAGATCTAAACATGTGCACAGTCATATTTGCCTGAGATGCTCCTGGAACAATTCCGTCAGGCTGCCAGCTAAGGTTGCTTAGAGCAGGCCTGGTCAGGCTTTAGGCTTGCAGGGTGTTGTTTGATCCGCCCCCCCCCCGCCACAAACCCCCACCCTGGTGCAAAATTCTGAAATGAATTTAGAAATTCTGAGCCCAGGAATTTGAGTAGCAGAAATGAATGGCATTCATAGTCCTGTCACACAAAATCTAATTGGTTAATTTCTTCAACTTTCTCAAGTTCAGCAGCAATGTGGCACATTGGTCAGAGTGTTGGGCTACAACTTGGAAGATCTGAGTTCTAGTCCCCTCTTAGCCATGAAGCTCACTGGCCAGTCATGGACTCTCAGCCTCACCTACTTCACAGGGTTGCTGTTGTGAGGATAAAGTGGAGAGGAGGAGAATCTTGTGAGCTGCCTTGGGATCTTGCAAGAGGAAGAAAGGTGGGGTATAAATTAAATTTAATAATAATAATGAGAAGGGAGTCATTTTGCTGCTTCTGTTGTTAAACAACTGGGAGTCAGAAATGTTCACCAATCTCTCACTCAGAGATCAATCACTGGATCTACCTTCTAACCACTCCTGGTTTATAAGACACTGCAATGACTTGGAATGCAGTACCCACATCCAAACTACTAATTTGGCATCCAGATGATATAGGATTGTGCTGTAAATAAAATAACTAAAGACTAGGAAAAGTGAATTAGTGAAGCAAAGAGTCTCAGAAAGTGCAGTGGAAAATAGGTATATTATGGAGTAGATCAAGGTCATAGAGCTGCCCTTAAATGTGACATGAGGGAGAAGAACCTGGCTACAGCTTGAGAGCAAAATTCAAGTTTGAAGAAGCTGTCAAAGGCCAAGTTGATGAGCAGGACCAAAGCTGAAAAGGGCAAAGCCAAAACCCAGAAATACCAGCATAGTTTAGCTTAAAGCTTTTACTGCCAGTAGCTCCATCTTACAAGAGGCATTTCAACCACCTGGAAAGGGGAAACAACTGTACAAAGCTGAGAAACCATCATACAGTAGATGTTAATGTGAAAGGGGTGGGAGCAAAGGAAGAGGAAGCGAGCATGGTCATCTCAGATGGGCCAGAGTCAGACTCCAGGAGGACCAGATTTGCTCTCTGACCTAACCTCTTCCAGCTCTGCCTTAAATATTCAAGGCTCTTATCCTAAATATACAGAACTCTCAAAAGGCATTGTGTATTTTTGCAAACATTGGCTAAGGAAATGGCGGCACAATAAAGGCCAAAGCCTGGACCAGGGTTGCCCACTCCACCCAGATCACCTACCATAGTCAGAGAAGCTGTTGGGGGCGCTCTTGAAGGTGAGTGTGACACCCAGCCCATCGCTTCTGTAGCCGGCCTCACTGAGTTGGGGTAGAGACACAGCATTCTTGATGATGGGTGAGATGGCAGGAGGCAGTGGCGAGTCCTCTTCCTTGTTTCGGCTCCCCCGTTTCCTTAGTGGGCTCCTTCTCACATGCCGCAGCGTCCGAGCAAAGAAATTTTCAGGCTTGGCTTCCTCCCCGCCATGGTTTCTGAGGAAGGATGTATCCCCAAAGACATCACCACCACGCCCCACATGCATAGTGTGGCGAAAGTCACCCAGCGGAGGGCTGATCATGTCCGGGGTCAGTTCTGTTTTGAGTCGGCGCTTGCTGTGGGAGCTGGTCACCCAACCAATCACTGGTAGCTTCCCAAGACTCATCTCTTAGCCTGTTGAGTAGAAACCTGTCTTGGAAATGCTGTGACGTCTCCCTCAGAAGCAGGGAACCCCACTCCGGAGGAGTGTATCTGTGTAGGTGTCTCGGTGACTCGTCACACTCCAGGATCTCCCATCACTTTTGTTTTCTTTCTCCCTTCTGCTACTTAAAGAATGAAAACCGAGCTGTCAAGGAACTTCTGGATTTCCTGCAGGGAGTGGGTATCTGATATCCACCCGTCTCCCTGGTCCCCTTTGGTAGTGCCCCGTTGCAGCTTTCATGAAGCCACCAAGACAATTGATTTTGTGCAGGTCTGAGCCTTCAGGAATGCAAAGAAGAGGTGAAGGTTAATAGGAATCCTGGTTGCTCACCTTGGGCAGGTGGCAAAGCAGTGACCAAGGACTCTGTCGTGAGACCGATAGCTGCTCTTGTCTGGCTGGTACTGAGCAAAGCTGAAGGATTAACATTAATCCTGCTGACTCTTCTTCCAGCGTGTCTCTCTCTCTCTCTCCACCCCCTTTCTTTTCACCTCCTACTCGTGTGGGAGTTGCCTAACAGATGGGGCTAGCAGGTCACAGGAGCCAGAGTGGGAAACTCAGGTCAGACGCCTTGATCCTGGAGTCCCGCCATGAGATTTTCTGGAGAAGACAGATTGAAAGGAAAGGTGAGGCCTCTGAACAGAGACTGTCAGATGGTGACGACCTGAGAAGAGAGACAAGCCTTCTTGTGCTTGTTGCTGACATGCAGCAAAAATGCAGTGGGCTTTTTGCATTATGCTGAGGCAAATTTCCATGCTTTGTTAAACAGGACTTGTGTTCCCCCACCAGGGGGCAGAGATGGGCAAAGTTTTCTGTTTCTTAGGCATAGGGCTTACAATGATTTGCATTTAATGCAAAGCAACCAGCACAGGAGAATATTCAACTCCTTGTAGCCTGTCAGGCAAAATGACTTTCTTTCTTACTCCCCCTCTCTTATCGTAGGCCAGGGTGGCCTCTGAATCAATTGATATGGGATACCATATCAAGGAGGTTTGATTCTTTGTACCTCTGCAGTAGGAACAGGCAAACTATTCTGGTGCCTTCCAGCTGTTTTGGGCTTCAGTTCTAAAATCTCTGATTATTGATCATGCTGAGTAGGGATGATGGGAGTTGAAGGTCTATTGTCTGGAAGGTATCAGATTGGGGAAGGCTGATGTATGGAGTGGTACTGCTCTGGAAGAATGGGCTCTGCAGTGGTCTCAGAGACACAGGAACTCTGTACTGGCTGTGGTGGGGGCTGGACAGACTCTATAAAGGTCGTTAATCTTCCGCAGCAATGTGTGCTCTAGATCTGCCCAGAAGTGCGCATAATAAAGTGGCCAGCAACGGGTCTCCACCTTACAGAACATGACACTGTTGATTACATTGTCTCCCAATGATATGCTGTGCCTTCTTATGCCTGGCAACTTCCTTTATATTTCTGATTCCTCTAGGAATGCAGATGTCCCCACGCAGATATGCTTATGGGTTCTTCAGGACCCAAATATTTTAAGTCCTGAATTTGCACTCCCTAGGTGGTGGTGATGGTGGGAGTCACTGGCTTCCACCTGAGAAATTCTTAAACAAGCATAACTGCTTGTTGGAGAGGGATCAGAGATGGCCACATGAATGAGGGCATTTGACATAGCTTAACTGCTATGCAAAGGGTAATTGTACATGTGGATTCAATTGTATAGTGAAACCACTCATTGTCCCTTGGCTATGAAAAAAGGTAGTCCCAGCACTAATAGGCTTAGGTCTGAGGTCCAAAGGATAAAACTTTTCCCTTACATGGGTGAGCTTCTCTGTTCCTGACAGTGGGACTCTTTTAAATCTACAGCAGCCTACTTCCATCTGGTGCCCAAAGGTGATAGCTGTAGTCTAAAACTTCTGGAAGGCACACTGTTTCCCCCAGTGTGGTGTCTTCCAGGTACTCTGTAGTACAATTCCCATCAGGCCCTGTCCCAGCCTTGCTTGCAGTCCATTCAAAATTTCCACCACCCCCGGCCCTATTTCTGATTGTTCTCCATCTTGAAGATCACCTTGGAATGAGCAGATGCCAAAGCAGGCTAAAGTGGCAGGCAAGATTGTCCCCACACTCCCAATTGTGGCATCCTGTGCCAGTCCGATGCCACGTGTCTTTCTGTGTCTTGGCCTTGTTTATTCATTCAGGGCCTCTCTTATCTACTAGGGTTAGAAGCTAGCAAGGGAAAGATTAAAAATGTCTTATCTAAGCTGGCAAACAAAAGATTATTAAAAAAACAACAACAACCCCCTATCGTCTGTTCCACTTGGAAGTGGACAGAGGTTGGTTCCTTTTCAAGAAGGAATGCGTGTTTGTGTGTGTGCAGGGGAAGCGGTTGCCCTCTGTCCCCCATTCCTTGGACAGCCAGTGCCCCTGCTCTGTAAGGGAAGGACAAAGGATTGTTGGCCACTGGTACTGATGGGAAAAAGGAACAGCACAATAGATAGATCAGAAAAAGAACTTTCTAAAATATTGATTGCCTCCTATAACCAAGTGCACCTTACATTTGGTGTCAGTCATGCTTCATCCTGACCCTACAACAAACTTGATAGAGAGTCTCACCTGTTCAATTCTGTCCATGAATCAGCTTTTAAAGGCAAAGAAGCCTTAAAATACAGTCAGTTTAAATAAAGGGCACCACCTTTCTCCCCCACAACAGTGCTCTTGCCCATTTAACAGCAGTGTGTCAAGCAAAAAGTCAAGTCGACAACCTAACCCTTTCCCCATTGCTAGATTTTCAGGATGGGAAAATCTTCAGCTGGACTTTCTACTTGTTATGTGGTTGCTCAAAGAACAGGGGGCCTTGGAACAGAAACCAAGGTGGGAATCTTAATGTAAATTCATCTTTTGTTTGGTCAATCTGTCTTTGTATTCTACAGACAGATTCACCATTCTCACCAGAGAGTAGACCTCCATGTGTTTGGGGCTTCATTTTTGGGCATGCTGGTGGTAAGGGCTTCTGGGAGTTTAAGTCCAAAACCTATTTCTCTCTCTCCTGCCTCCTTCTCTCCCTCTCATCCCCTTCTCTCTCTTTTCTTCCCATGTGGCCCTTGGGCTGCAGGGTTCCTCACCTCTGGTCTAGACCCTTCAGTAAGAACCCTAACCCTGAAAGAAGCAGGCGGAGGGGGACGCATTTTAAAACCTGGGTCCTTCAGAGCAGGAATGAGCAACTTGTAACTCTCTGGATGCTTTGGCTTTCAACTCCTGTCAGTCCCAGCCAGTTTAGCAAACATCATGCAATATCATTGGAGCTGTTGCCCAAAATATCTGGAAAGCCATAAGTTACTCACCCTTGCTAGGTACTTCTCTCTGCAAGCCAAGAGCAGACTTGGGAAGCAGGAGTACCACATGCACCAGTGAAAAAGAGAAAATATGCAGTGATTAATGTAACCTATGTGTTTACCAGATAAAGAGAGAACACAGTTCCGGTAACTTGGATACTTGTAAAAAAGGTAATATTTGCAGCTTGTTCTGTTGCGGTATGACCGGACTGAGAAAAGTTGTATCTGCTGAAATACTTCCACAGACAAAAGTGGAGAAGTCCTGTTATCCAGTCCTACAACTAATCAGTTTAGAGTTGCTCGTTTAGTTTTTTCATTATGACCTTTTCAAGGACAAATAATGGATAAAACTAAATATATCTGCTGAAGGCTGCACATATGACATATTATAACTCTTTGTAGTAGAGACAAAATGGCAATGTTTGTGGTAAGTGGAAAAGAAGTCATTTTTTGAATTGCAACTTACACAGCTTCACATGGTATCTCTACAACTGCAAGGTCAGGGAAAAGGTTCATGTGCTAACCCTTCTCTGCCATTTTTCTCCAACTGCCTTATATGTTTTAGCCTTTCCTTACCTGGTGCCCTCCAAATGTTATGGGAGTTGTAGTCTAACACCTCTGAAAAGCTCCAAGCTGGGGAGAACTGTTTTAGCCTGTGAACTTTAAGACAGGGATCTATTACAATTATTTGTGTACAGTGTTTAGGCGCCTTGCAGAAATGATTCATTGATTATATCCTATATTCCTGCAAGAAATCCAAGGCAATGTATATAATCTTCCTCCTTTATCCTCCTCTCCCTTTTATTATCACAAGAACCCTGAGAAGTAGGTTGGGCTGAGAGTCAGCAAATGGCCCACAGGTGCCCAGTGAACTTCATGTCTGAGTTCCGACCACAGCCCAGGTCTCCCGACTCCCAGTCCAGCTCTGCAGCCACTGTGCCACACTCGTAGCTTTCCTGTGTGCTGATGATGCCTGGAGCCCTCCCTACTTTCCAACCCCACCTGCCCTTACCATGGTTTCCACTGTAACTGAGGCTCAGGGGCCGAGGGCAAGAGGAGCGAAGGGAGATCAGAGAAGGTATTGCTAACACACATCCTGGCTGCAGTCAAGAATTACTTCTTGGTCAGCACAGACCCTGGAGGGGCCTTTTCTCTTCCATGCTGCCCTATCCCTGACACATGGAAAGAGCACAAAATGAAAATTGTAACTCTTTTAGTCCTTGCTGCCCTTCTTGTCAAGAGCGCGTCCTTCCCCCTCTTTCTCTTCTCAACAGAAGACCTAAGGCCTCAAACAAAACTGCAGAATGCCACAGCCCACAGGCTTCATGGGCGCCTTATCTGCTATCTCTGCCTTGGCTCCGGCTTTCCTTTTCCCCCCTGTCAACCACCTAGGCTGCTTCTGCGGCTGCTCCTCTGACTCTGCCACACTGTGCTGCCCAGGAACAATAGCAGCCGCTACAGCAGCAAGATCCTGCCCACTCACTTGAATTCATAGGCCAAGTCCAGTGATTCCTTTGTTTAAGGAAAGCTCTTGTGACTGTCTAGTCAACACAGGAACAATGGCTTTTGTTCTGCTCCTTCTTCTGCCTGGCTTTCTATTCATCTGCCACATGTGCAGTGGAATCCTAAGCATGTTTACTTAGTCCTACTGAATGCAATGTTGCCTATTGCAAAAACACATGGGTGCATAGGATTGCAGTCACTGCTTGACAGTCTGCCATCCCCACTGTTATCAGACTATGGCCTGCCCTCTAAATGTGTTGGAACTACTGGGGATGACAGGATCCTTTGCATGCTCTCTGGGGATAGCAAGGATTTTAGTACCACACACCTGAAAGGCAGTAGGCTGGGACAGGCATAGGTTAGGGGCAGATGGGTTGTGGGCTTCAGATTTTCTGGCCTACAACTCCCATCAGCCCCAGCCAGCATTAATGGATCGATGAGGACTGATAGGGTTGTAGGCTAAAACAGCTGGAGGGCCACAATATGCCCAATACCATTCTGGGTACTTTCCTCTGCTTCTCCAGCTTCTTTCCCCTAATCCTGTCTATTAAGAGAATCCTAAAGAAAGAAAAGAGCTGAAACCAGAAAATGGCAACTACATTACTCTTTTCTTCTTTCTGTTCCTTCATTAGGGTTGTATGATGCTCCATATTTTAGAAGACTACTGGCTTGTGTAGACAATTATAGTTAACACAGAATGTAATCAATGTAGCATATTATCAGCACCAGAATGCTTTTTAATTCTGAGCTGGCAAGTTCAAAAGCTTGGTCATCAGTGACATTGCATATTAGTTTTGAAAAAGAAGCAGAAACATGAAGCAGAAGGAAAGGATCAACTACCCAGACAGCTTTGGCTGTTGGGTGGTATAAAATACATAAATAAATAAATAAACAAAGTTGTCTTCTTGACTGGGATGCCCAGCTTCCCTAAATGGTAGGCACACCAAAGGCAGAAAGAAATAGCCCAGGGCTATTTCAGAACAGAGCTAAGACTGTTAAATTATAGTTTTGAGTAGAAACTGGAAAGTTCCATGCAAAGAGTCATTTCCCATTTTCACTAGCAAATCAGCAGTTAAAACCCTATTGATTGGGCCAACTGGAACCAGCAAAGGAAAATGTCCAGCTGTGGACAGTCCTTGTGACTGTCCATTTTTGCCTTCAGTGGTGGCAGGGCAACTTCACAAGAGTTAGACAAAATATGGGTCATTTATACACACACAGAACACATGGGGTGTCTTCCTCTAGACAAACAGAGCCTGGCTCTTAAATATCAATGAATGCTTAGTTCTCTTCACACACACTTCCCCCACCTCAAATGCAAATTTAATTCCAGTCTGAAAAAATTCGACAGCTCTAGTGGTTGAAAACATGGTCCAAGAGCCCTCCCCACCCTGTTTTTGGTCTTTTGTTGGGCATGGCTCTCTTTTGACTCACTTCTGCACTCTTTGCTCCTTTCCTAACTTGCTCTTTCTCTCCCTAACTTCCCCATTCACTTATCTGCTGCCATTTCTTCTCTTTTCATACTGAACTTGTACCTAGTTCCCCCAATGCCAGTTCTTTTCACCCCTCCTCCCTGCTTGATGGGCAAAGGTAGGGCTAGGAACCAAAAAGATCAGAGGATCAGCCCCACAAGGGCCAAAAAAGAAGGGGGGGGGGAAAGAAGCGCAAATTGCAAATGTGCATTTCTATATTCTCTAAAGTGTCCGTCCGTCCGTCCCTCCCCTGAAGGATCCCATCGTTTAAGGTTGCTCCTATTTGTACACGGCAGTCTAGGTACCTTGAGAGGAGGGCATTGGATTTCAGGCAAAAATAAAACCTCAGGCAGAAAATTGAGGGGGGGGGCAGCAGAAGCTGAAGCACATGTGGGTCAAAAGCCACACTATTCAGGGGATGCCGGATGCAACAGAGATCCTCAGGGCCCCTGTAACCTTTCTTTCAGCAACTGTGTCCTGGGGCAGCAGGGTGCTGGGGCAGATGGCCCAGCAAAGATGTGGGGCTCCTCCCCACAACCTAACTTTGTCTTGTGATTCATATTCACTTCTTCCTCCAGTTTCTCTCTCCCATCCTCTTTTTCTCTATTGCGTTTTGCTGCTGCTGCTGCTGCTGCTGCTTCCACAGTTCCTTCATCAGCCCCTCTATCCCTTCCCCCACAAACCCTTTCCCCTCCTTTTGCCATCTCAGTCTTACACCCCTCACAATGTCCTTAAACTCAGTGCCACTTGACACGCATACAAAAAATGGAAAACTTCGGGTATTTACCTTTTCCTGAAGCAGGAGGATGAGAGGAAAAAAAATCCCCTTTCTGGTCTTTCTAAGAAGCCTGGAGTTTTTGGTTTTTGTATTTTTTTTCCTCTGCCCCAAGAAGAGTTGCTGGTAGAACTACATCTGGGGAAGACAGGGCATCCTCCTCGGGTCCCTTTAACCACCACAGCCTGGGGATGTGGGGTGGGGGGGAGCTTGCCAGCCACGTTCTAGAACCCCAAACTGTTATCTTCCCAGTTGCAGCCTATTCACCCCTGGCGCAAAGCGGTGGAGCTAGAGCGAAGGAGACAGAAGGGGGAATGTAGTGCCTAGTGGGTGGAGTTTCAGCAGCGGTTGACCAATCCTGAGCCGCCAGGGAGCGAAGTCCAGAGAGGACGGCATCGATTTCAAAAGTCTAGCAGAGGGAAATTCAGGAGCCCCGGATTCCTTAGTTCTTCTCCCCCCCTCACCCCCCCCCCGCCTGATCCCAACGAGAGACCTTTCGCCTCGCAAGGAGTCTAGGAGTTTGAATACGCCTTCTTCTTAGCGGAATTGGGCAGGCTGGCGTTTTCACTATTTTCCAGGCTCTTCCCGCTCCCTCCAGCAAACGGTTGGTAGCGGGGCTCATGTCAGCTTCGGGTTGACACCCAATTACCAATTGCACACTATATATTGCAATGGCCTCTTGCTCGAAGGGTGTATTGTGAGTGGAATTGTGCGATCGCCTGTGTAAGATCTTCTCAGACTTCCACGCTTGCAAAGGAGTGAGCACAGGACTGCAGCCGAAAAGGCAGGCTCTGGGGGCCCCAGTCCGGGCAGAGGAAGGAGGGTAAAGGTTCTTTAACTCTTTGATCCATGCTCCTGCTGTTTACCTGAGCAAAAGCTCCCACTGGCATCAGTGCACCTATGCAATCCTGGAACTAAGTACAATGGAACTTAAGCCCAGGTACAGAGAAGCATAAGAAGCTGTCCGACCTTCACCCTGTATTGTGGACATGACTGGCAGCCAGGGCTCCAGAGTTTTAGGCAGGAATTTTTCCAGTCCTCCCTGGAGACGTTGGGCATTGAAAGCAGGTCCTGTGTCCCTGGGCTGTGTCCCCAGGCTGTGTGGCCCAAGTCAGGCATTCTCTGGTTTGTTTGTGCATAATATAAAAAGGTCATTGGCTGGATCAGGCCAAAGATCTTTCTAGTGCAGGCTTTTCCAATGTGGTACCTGCCAAATGCATAGGTGTAGGACCTCCATCATCCTCAGCAACAGGATGATTGGACCTGTAATGCAACACATCTAGAAGACACCAGCAGGATGGCTGCGTATTGGAACACAGGAAGCTGCCATGTACCTGCTCATGCCCTGGGTCCATCTAGTCCAGTACTGTCAACACTGACTGGCAGCCATGGCTTTCCAGGGTTCCAGGCGGAATTCATTCCCAGCCCTACCCAGAGATGCTAGGGGTTGAGACTGGGACCTTCTGAATGCAATGCGTGGGCTCTGCCACTGAGCTATGTTTTTTCCCCTAAGTTTGCATGGGCTTCTGCTGTGGATATTTATTTTGCTTACAGTTCCAAACCAGACATCGTTTTAAATGATGAAACTCATGAAGAAGAAATGATTTATATGAGATTGGTATTTTTTCAGAACTACACTTTCTGGCATCTGGACTGTGTTCAGTGGCAGTTAGTGCAAATGTGATATATTATAGGTAAGGTAAAATGCATACTCCGGTAACACTGGTATACAGAAACATGTAATTAGGCATTGTGTATGCCACGTTTTATTTGCTTCTTGCAGTTATTTATCTCCAGACTTTCAGGATACAAATCCTTCCAAGGTGGCTCATAAATAACATCAAAATATTCTAAATGATGGTACAGTTAATAAGAAAACATATAAACAATTACTGAAATTCTTCCCATGGGGCAGCTGATGGCAGTAGGGGATATCCAGGCAAAGTGGGCTCTGTTACCTTTCCCACTTGTCCCCCACTCCTGCTTCTGGAATTCTCAATAAATTTAATGTGTATCAGAGTTCTTCATTTTGCTCCTCTTTTCAGTTTTTATAAGCATCTCCCCACTGTGCCTTTCTTAAGCTCTGTTAATCATTTAAGTGTTCTTAGTTAGTTAATTATCTGTCTTTCAATGAATTCATTTTAACAAATTTGCTTATTACCAAAACTGCAAAACAAGTTGTATATTACAAAAACTACAACACTTCTTTAAAAACATACTGAATTAAGTCCAAGATAAACCCAAGGAACTGACACCTATATTATTTAAGTCAATTAATCAATCCATCTCTAGCATTTTCAAGTTTCTTTCTTACACTCTGTATTCGTTGAAGCAGGAAGAGTCTATTCCTGGTCCAGTTACACCAGGTTGACCCAAAGGAACGTTGAACCAAATGAAGCTACTGATGATAGGGTTGTCTGATAATAGATGCATATGTGCACCAGTATACTCTGAACTGGGTTGCAGTCATCTCCTGGATGATCAGGTGCTGGTGCTGACTGGGAGTGCCTTTTTCCAACTTTGTTTTATATACAGCCTGTGCCCTTTCATGGAAAGAAGCTGGACTTGGCCTCAGTGGTGCAGGCCCAGTCTTGTTACTTCCAGATAGATTACTATAATGAGCTCTAGATGGGGCTGCCCTTGAAGATAGCTCAGAAACTTCCACTGGTTTAGAATGCAGGAGCCACAATTCCATCCTGAGCAGCTGCATAATCCTTTTAGAAACCACTACTATAGCTATACTGGCTACAATTTATTTCTGGGCTCAATCCAGTCCAATCCAAATCCAATGCAATCATAGATTTCCACCATTTTGTCTACTTGGCTCCAATTCTTTCCTATTGTTGCAGTCCTGTATTGGCATATGAATATAGAACCCTTATAGGGGAGCTGAAGAAGCAACATCCTGGCCAATCTTTACTTTGGACAATTGCAGCAGCTCCTACCATGGTACAGACTGGTTATATGTGCTAGAAAAGTTTGTTAACTCTTGAGATAAAGTGCTAGTGCAAACACATCAGAGGAGTAGCTCCTGCTATGTCCTCCAGGGAAATGCAGGAGTCGCCTCTGTTGCTCTAAGTTGAATCTTTGGTGCACTTGGGATGGAAACAAGGAACGCATCACCTGGAAGTTCAATTTTATGATCCTGAGTATGTTGGTTGCCCTACATTCTCTGCCAGAAACCCCAGGAAATAATGGTGACACACCTTTCTCATCCCACACACCCATGGCAAGGAGGCGTATTCTACATAAGGAAGTTTGTGTTTCAGCATTTGGAATCAGTGTAAAGGGTCCTGCAGCTCAACCTCTTCTCTTGCTGCACCAGGAGATTGTGGCATATGACTGGATATTAAAATCCACGTGAGGGTAATGCCTTTTTAAGCCAATCTGAAGCTCACAAAAATGTGCCAGCTTTTGAGGTTTAACATCAGGCAAAATGCTACCCCCCCCCCCAAAAAAAAAGTAGAAAAGGGAAGAAAAAAAATTCTGTCATGACAGTGAAGTCACAGAACTTGCGTGTCTTGAGTCCCAAGATGAAATGTGGGAGGAATCAGCAGATATTCAAATTAGGCTCTACAAGTCATGGGATAGTTACTGCTTAGACCTGCAGCCTCCCCTAGGGCTGTTGGGAATCAGAAAAGGGAAAATGTTGGAAATATTTTGGAAATATGAAATCCAAATACTAAGGGATGCATACAAGGGGTTAGCCATAGTCTCTGCTGCCAAACCCAACAGACCATTCTGGTTAAACTCTCCCCCTACCAAAAGAGGTTGGAGCTTCTTTAAAAGCAAGTGGGGTCAGAGATGCCCTTTAGAGGTGGGGAAACTACAGCAATCTGATGGCCAGTTCATATCTGGGACAAGATGGCATCAGGCTTCTGAAATCTCCTTTGCTTTTTAGTAGACTCTCGAAGCCCAACAACTTGGACCCAGGTGCAAAATGGTAACTCAAGAATGGGGTGGAGAAACATAGGATGAAGGACATGCTCAGCCCAAGAATTTGCTTCCAGTACCAGAATCTGTAAATCACCCAGAGCACCATTAGTACAATGTGATATACCTTCTTGGGCTCTTTCATCAGACATATGGAGGTAGCCACTTCCGGTGGTAAATGCTGGCAGCTGGCCAAGAAAGTTCCAGGCCACATGGTCCACCCTGCACCACCTAAGCTCCTTGCTGCCTCCATGTGCAGTGGAGGACATTGTTCCACAGCCAGTGTTGAGGAAAGCTTCAGCTGCCACTCCAGAGAGCTTTTGCACATTTGTAGTACCCTCTTGTTCTTTGTCTCAAGCAGGTTCTTTGTCTCTTGGATGGTTCTTCCACCTTCTGCCTGTCAAAGTGAGGCAGGGTGAAAACAAGCACCTAATGTTCTGTGAAGCATAACAGCTAATTGTCTCTAGCTGATTCTTCCTCCATCTTTCTTCTTCTCTTTTCTTGACTCCCTCCGTCCACCAGTATTGATGTATTTGTTTCTTTACAAGATTTCTGTTTCAATTAATATATTAAAACCTAAGCTATTCACATTAAAATACAACAAAATGATGCAAAACCAAGGCACAAATAAGAAAGGATTCCAATTAAGGGTGAAGTCCTATGCCCAGAATGAGGTGCTGCTGCATTTTATGCCAGGCATTTTATCTAGATAGCTGTTTTTAGCATTTAGGTAGAACACTGGAGAGGGAAGAGCAAGAGGTTGGAGAACCAGTAGGAATTGGCATACGAGGTTGGTCCCAGTCTTCTAATCCTTCCCACCTGTTGGTATGCCCCATTTGCCTCACTCTGAGACACAGTTAATAACCTGCGTTGGAGAGGGGGAGTTGGCGCAGTTCTTTCCATGCCAGCTGCATGGTGTGAGGCTCAGGGCTGCAAAGCCCCAGTTCCAAAATCACAGGATCCTGGAGCTGGGACGCTGAACGATCCTGTGGCCTCCTAGGGGGTATCTGGATTGCCATACGTAGGATTGTGCCCAAGAGCATTTTAGAAGCATCACCCTAACAATAAATAGGATGGGAACAGTGTCTCACTGGTCAGGAAAAGCCGTGTGTCTTCCAGAGGGGTTTGAAACATGCATGCCACCATTTCTGCCTTTCAGATCACATGGGGCAGAATGGTCTCCCACATTTATTTATCTATCGATTTATATCCTGCCTTTTCCTACAAAGGGCTCAAGGCAGCTTACATCATTCTCCTCCTCCAGCTCATCCCCACAACAACAACCCTGTGAGGTAGGTTGGGCTGAGAGTCTGTGACGGGCCCAAAGTCACCCAGTTGGCTCCATGGCTGAGCAGGGACTAGAACCCAGATCGC